TAGGCGAAAATAACACATTTATACCACACGCAAAAAACTGCATGGTTTCTGCCCCAAAACTGCATGAGATTAGTAAGAAGTGGGCATGTCTGCAGGGGGAGAACCTATTTTCATTCAGATATCTTGATGTCAGAGGTCAAGGGATCCCTTTTAAAATGGCCATGCCAGGTTTTTCATCGCCAAAATTTAGCCTAACCTTGCGCGTTATTTAGGTATTTAGTTAAGTCATCTTCACTCTAGCTTTTAAATGGAGCCCGCTACAGCCTCTAAAGGACAGTGTGGAGGGAAAGAGCTGAGGATAATGGGCTGGCACTTGGGTTGGCCAGTCAGATTTCAGGGGTGGGCAGTGTCAGGTTCTGCTTCTGGAAACAATCCTATTTAAAGATGCCGCGGGTCGCCTTCCATGGAGTCCGCCATCTTGAACCACCATGTTTCTATAAAGTAGGCCAGAAAGGACAAACCAAACAATGACTCTAGACAGGGGCGTTCAAATTCTTGTAGTAACTACGACCTTACAAGGCCCATACTGAGCATATTAAGATTGTAATTCATACACAACTCTTAATTAATAGCCTTGTAGTTGTTGAATATTGTTGTCATACAAAATAAGGCATTAATGAGTCCTTTATATTGACTAATAAAGAGCCACTATGCTACTAATATGCATGCTAATAAGCAACTAATGGTAAATATGTGTCCCTTAATATAAAGTGTTGCCAAGCTATCATGAGGTTGACTATGTACACATGCAAACAATGGAAGAAGCTTTACTTTACTTGCTAGCAACCTGTCCACAAAAGATGGGTGGTACAAAAGTACAAAAGTTAAACTACATGTTATCTAATGCACATGAGGTAGACAAGTGAGTAGGAAAATGAAATCATGTGAAGGAAAAGGTTCCTGTTCACTGTGAGTTTTTTGAAGACAACATTTTGGTAAAGTACAAAGGTTTAAAAACTATATTATCATGGCTACATTACAAACAAGACCAAACCCACTGACTGCACAGTGGGCCAAACAACTTGTGAGTTTGCTCACATAGACAAGTGAAAAAGCGCAATCACACGTGAGAGTGATACAACTTTTGGCTCCTTAATTACACCTTTAACTGCTCGATGAACCACTAGTCATTGTTTCTTTATTATTATTTTCTTTTCTTTCCTATTTGTCACATATTGCTTTAAATATGCACATTTAATTGATTTAATGTTTATTATTCTTTCAGTAAAAGAATATAGCACAGTATATGTTTACATTATTGTTATCTTTAATAGTGTTTATCCATTGAGAGATTACAGATGGGAGGGAGCCAGATGTTGCTGTGTAGTATTTCTAAATACTGAATATTTTGAGGCATTATCGTCATTGAATATTTTAACAGAATATACAGAATATTTTGTTGACCACTATTATTCATGAACAAAAATATCTACCAGGACATATAATATATAATCAAATATCATTCAAATATCCTTTATTGTCAGTTGTAAAAAAACAAAAAAACAATCCGAGATTAAAATAATGTAGGTGTGCTTTCCTCTTAGGATAAATGATAACTTTATATTGTTTTGTTTGCAAAATAATAAAATATAAATGACACTGCATGTTGGCTCTATCTGAGTCCAGTTTTAAGTCATGAAATTGACATGGTAGTAACAGACAGTGTGTTATGTGAAGGCTTTTAATATGTAGTTCTGTTTCTATAGGACTGTTTTTTTTAACTTTAAAAGATAAAGATGAGGAGTGATGAAAGCAGCTGGGAGACATGGGGTCCTTTAGAAACACCCAAACAATGATGAGGGCAAAGAGGCACTTGTTTTTTTTTTTCCTTCATATTCACCACATTTTCTCAATCATCCACCCCACCACCCAGCAGCTCACTGCTTTCCCATCCTCAAATTCCCTCAAAGTTTCAGATGCTCACAATTCCACAATGCCCAGATGCTGTCCTTTGGCCCTTTACCCCCCTCAACCCAGAGCTATCATTCATAACCTTTCTGTGGATCTGGGAGTGAAAGAGGTGGGATAAGGGAGAAAGAGGGGGAGCGGAGAGCAACATGGCAGCTTATTTAGAAGACTTCCTTTATTGGAACATGTGCAAGCAGTTCACTCACAAAGGACTTAAATAGGATATTTTCTGTTCCCTATAGTTGCTTTCCCCTTTTAAGTGCCGAGGCAAAAAAAGTAAGTTTACAACTCCCTCCTCAATGGGGGCTCTTCACTCTCAGGTTGCGGGGACCTGAGTGACCTAGGAAAGTTAATTAGGAGGCGAACAAAGAGCGAGCTGGAGCAGAATGCCTAGCCTCTCCTCCAGCCAAAGATGTCATCCATTAATTAGGAAAATCTTTAAGGTGGCCTTATTGAATTTACAGAAAGCCCTGTGGTTGGCGGGCAACAGTTTTTTGATCAAGCCCTGACTCAAACAATGCCTTTCTGGGGGTTAAAAAAGAAGAAGAAGGGAGGAGATTGGTCGTAGAAGAAGAGAGGGAAAAGGGGGGAGTAAAAGAAACGTATGGGTCTGCGGTGCAGTACAGTTTAATGGGGGGGTTGGGGGTTTTGGGGGTTGCTGCCGATTGTGACAGCTCAGATTCACATGGGTATGGGGGGCATAGTTTGGGGATGATGTCATGCAAAGGCAACCTGGGGGCTTGGGAAGTAAGAAGGAGGAGGTACTGAGCTTGAGCCACAGGGGCCACTCAAAGTTAACATCACTGCCTGCATCTGGGCCAAATCCTTTTCTTCTGGCCCAGGAGAGGCTTTCCTGAACGCCAAGCCCTCCACCACTCCTCCCACTCCCTCGTTCACAAATCAGGGCTTGCTTTAAAGCTAACCTCTTGCTAACTGACTAGCTAACTGCCTTTTCTTTCCAGTCTAACTGCCTATTCATCCCTGGCCCACTATGAATAATATAGCTGGATAACATGGAGCTGTACTGCAGTTCCTCTGCTTTTACATACTTTGTCAATTAAAAGAGATTTTACTTTGTGTCAACAATATTCTATATATTTAAAAATATATTTAAATTATATATTTAAAATAAATAAATAAATAAATAAATTACACAAAACAGTCAATTTTAAATCACCTGATCAGTCTGTTTATTTCTGCCTTAGGCTTTGTCTTTGTTCTAATTTCATTCTATATTCAATTATATTTATAAAAGCAAACAGTTTATGTATTTTGTACATTGTGTTCTATTTTTCAGCTTGCATGACCACAGCAACTAATTTCTGTGCTGCATTGAAGTTTTTCCATCCAATTGTTATTACAAATAAATTACTATTTAAAGAAAGTATGCATACCTATATTTTAAAAATACTGAGGGTGGGTTTGGTTTCCAATCACTGTGGGAATTTCGTCCACCAGTGGTGCTGTGTAGAGCAATGCTTTGTATCTCTCTATGCAAAAACATTTATGCAGAGAGAACAGAGGTGACATAATGCACAATTGTAAACTACAAAAGTGCGGTAATGCATTTCAACAGTAATTAATTTAATAATATGCCATTAAAAGGCAGCAATGTGCCAATAAAAGATGCGTAGAAAAAGAACACTACAGACTGATACAGTTTCAAACCAAAAAGAGTCTTAATACTTTGTAAAAATGTCTTCTTTGTAGTTGTTAATGTTGTGTTGGTGGTTCAGTAAATGTCTAATCTACTAATTTAGTCTTAAAAAAATCATTTGTAAAGATACGTTTTTTCATGTGTTTACTTTCAGTGCAATTTCAAATTTGAAAAACAAGTTTAAAAAGTGAAAATATGTATGAATCTACTTGTACAGTCTCAAAATAATGTCACTTAACAGGAAGATAACCTTGTATTAAGTTTCTCTACAAAGCAGGAAACAAGCTCACTCACTGAAAGTTTCCCCCTTAAGTGACTTGTTAAGATCTTTTGTGTGCTGCACAATATTATAATTGTAAGTAACTGTTTGATTTTAGGGAATGATGTTACCCCTTTTTAAGCAGATAAAAAATGACTAATTCATACGACATTTATAACATCAAGCTCTAATTTAACATGGAAAACATTCATCAACTTGGCTTTGTTTACAGTGGTTGTTGTTTCTGCATCATAATCACCAACTGTGGGTCACAGTAACCCACTTTTAAAGTACTAAATCACTGGAACCAGTAAAGAGCAAAGAAAAACACCCATACAGGCTGGTTAAATGCTGACAGTCACTGGCATGCTCATGCTATATGCTGGCATGCTGTCTTGTCCATGTGTCTCCTGGGACGTGAACCCCTCACCCCACCCCCTCCTGGGGGACTAATTTGAGGGGAGGGACGATGTGTTTTGTTGCTTGTCAGAAACAATCACTCCCGGCCCATTACATTTACAGCACGCCGTGCTCTCATTGCTGTAACTGGCTGAGCTCTGAGAGGGGGAAGGTGGCTCTGAGAGAAATCATAAATTTACTCATCAGGGACATAAAAAGTTGACAAACATCTGTGAACGAGATCCAAAATAGTCAAAATGCAAATACTGACCAGTTCGTCCTTTGAGCAAATCAGTTTTCAACTAAAATTGCTTTTGTGTGTCACCCCCCCCCCCAAGATGTAAGATTAAAGTGAATAACAACTTTATTTAGAGTGTGCTGTGCCGCCCCCACCCCTCTCTTGTCCTCTGTCCCGGCCCACCCGTCCTCTCCCTGTTCTGTTTGGGCACTGGAGGTTGTCAGTCGGGGTTTATGTCCAGTTCACTGGAGCTGAAAGAAGTCAGTTTCATGTCTTGTTATGGAACAAGACGTCTCTGCCTCTCAGGAGTGATGAGAAGTGGTCTGGGTGAGCAGGGTGAGCAGGGAGCGGGACCATCCCCTGGAGGCGACCAGCAGTGAGGAAGTCAAAGCGGCTTTTGTGTTGCTGCTGTCGGCTGCGTGTTTGGTAATTATCCCCCCCTCAATATGAGCACAGAACGGGCTTTCCAGGAGAGATCCCAACCCAACCGGCCCACGGAAGAGTGCACAACACACCGTCAACAAAGATTAACTTCTCACAGTGCCGCAGAGATGCCTGATTGGGGGAGACACAGCAAATACATGAAACCCTCTCGTGTGCGACGGGCTGGTGATGAGCAGATATTCTCAGTCAGACGGTTTCAAACTGTTGCAGTGCTTAGATAATGACACCTGTAGAGTCCTTCTCCTCTTCTTCATTTTTACTTCGATCAAATACCACGACAATGTAAAAATACAAGTAAAAGTGCTGCATTTCAAATCCTACTTAAGTAAAAGTAGTATTATAAGCTAAATGTACTTTAGTAAAAGCTTCATTCTGTAAAAATAAATGTTTTCTTTGTGTGTGATATATTGTTATATAACATTAATACATTTTTAATGCTGATGCACTGATATGTGAGCAGCATTTTATAGCAGGTGGAGGTGAAGGTAGTTTTTACAACTTATATGTTAGTTTAGTAGATAGTTTAGCCCAGTGGGTCCCAACATAGGGGTCCGGCCCCCTTTTAAGGGACACAAGATAAATCTGAGGTGTTGTGAGATGAATAATGGGATAGGAAAGAAGAAAAAACAAGGTTTTACAACACACATTTTTGTACATTTTTCTGATTTCTTTCTGTTATTTGCTGTTTTTGTGAAATATTTTAAGTCTTAATTCTTTGGGGCTCAAACAGCTCTTGAAGTGAAAGTGAAACCATCTGAGAAGTTCAGAGGGAAATCCATCTGTGGTGGAACTGCTCATAGACATCTGAAGCATGACAAGGGGCCACAGCCAGACACTGATTTTTGTAAGTGACCACAAGCAAAAGGGTTGGACAGCTTATTATATATATCATTAACTGAAAAGTAACTACACCTCTAAAATATTTATTTATACGTATATATAAGGCTACATAAAATGGAATTTTTTAAGCAAAGTTATAAATACCTCAAAACTGAAATTAAGGACAGTCTTTGAGTCTTATGTACTTCATAATAATTAATTAATCTTCATCTAATGTACATATTAATGTATGTACTGTACTGTAATTCCAAATATACTGCATATATCATAACACTGGAAAATCTGGATAAAATATCAAATCTATCTAAGCTATATGTATATATATACATATACCGTTTTATAAACACATATATATGTATAGAGAGAGATATATAAGATAAAGAATACTGGATGTTTAAACATACTAAAGCTGATTCTGATCTTATCTTCAGCATCATCTTCCTCATTGATCATCATTACTATTATTATCAACGTACATATCAATGTCATCATTATCTTCATCAACATCTCTATACTTACCCTCATCATCATCATCACCATCACTGTCATTCTAATCATAAAAACCGGATCAATCATCTTCTTCTTCATCATCATCACCACCACTGCCATCATCCTACATATCATGGGCCTACTTACCATCATTGTCCACTCCCCACCCTTGACATCATCATCATCAGCAGCTTCTATCCTCTTCCTCTAACCTCTATCTAAACCATCATCATGCAGTCTGTAGGTCTGTGTCGCCTACAGTGGTGGAGAATAAACAGCAATACTTTAATATTATTATTTTTTTTGTCAACAATATAAAAAAACCTGTTAGGAAATCAAGCAACTAATCTGTGGGAAACAAACCGAGGAGCATCCGTTTCTTCCATTAAAACTCCCTCATTTTAACCCGACTCAGATCGCTCCCTTTCAAAGGCGCAGAATAGGCCTGCCTTGATCTGCATCAATTGTCATCCCGGGGCTCAGGGGCACTTCGGCGGCCAGTATAGCGGGCGAAGTCAGGGCTAATCCCTGGAAAAGGGGAGAATCACGGGAGAGGAGAAAAGCAACAATAACCAAGTCAAGCGTATAAAATGAAAGCGAAATCTCTATTATCACTCCCCGCAATTCCCAGCAAAGTGGTGAAAATCAGGGTTAGTTTGTGATTCGAGTCAGACGCGGAGGGAAGAATATGGGGGTCCCTGCGGGTTGGGAGACTCACACGACGAAAAGGGCAATATTCTGGAGAAAGGAGGAAGAAGAAAGACCCTCTCCCATCCCGACATAACCATTAAATGCAGTCTGACTTTATGTTGTATAGAGAGGGGGGAACAAGAAAGGAGGCACAGTTCTCCGATGAAAGAATGAGGTTTTTGGCGGATTAGGGACGGCCCGAAGGATGAAGAATAACTTCTGCATAACTTTACAGCTATTTTCTCTCCCCACGCCAAGAGCCAAGTTTAAGGCTGGACCGGTTTGAGTTAACCCCTTTTGTGATTGTCCAATGAGACACTTTCATAAGGGGGGGAGAAAGGACTCATCACAATCTCAGCTCCTCAAAACTGAGCCTCTTTAGGTGCACATTACAGGTGCAGAGCCAATCAAATAATGTTTTAAGGAATTGGAGAACATTTTCAAAGACCCTATAAGATAGTATATTTACTCAAGAGGTGTACTTAAAGGCAATTGTGATGGTCTACCTAGGTATTTAATACAACTGTGTATCCCACTGCATTCCACAGGGGAATATTGCTCTTTTTCCTCCAATACATTTATCAAACAGCTACAACTGATAATTACTTCACAGATTAAGATTTTAAGTGAAAACCCCCCAAATTGGGGCTCTGTGTCTTATTTTTGCAGATCCACAAAATAGTGATTTCCCATCTTTGTTCCTTTCATTTTTTTAGACACCAAAAGAGAAATGTGCACTATTTAATTAAAAAAATTTGAACTTTTTTTCTTTCCGACCTCATTAATCATTTCAAGACCCCTCAGATTTATTAGCGTCCCTTTGGAGGGGGTGCAACCCCTATGTTGGCAACCACTGGACTAAACTAACTAGATGTATAGCTTCACCTCCAGATTCTACACTGTTATTACAACCTAATATTGTCTTATATAATATTATGAGAGTCACAAAGATAATTTTCTCTGCAGAATTATTTACTTTTTGAAGTAGGCTACATATAGTTTACCATACTTCATACATATCATATCATATCTACTTATTCAAGTAGGATTTTGAATGCAGGACTTTTACTTGTAATGGAGTATTTTACATAGAGTATTTGTAATTTTACCATAGTAAAAGATGAAGAAGAGTGCTTTGCAGGCCCCAAATAGATTTTCAGGCTTATTGCCTTTGGACTGTGATCCCCCTCACCCCCCCAGGATTATCAATAGGCAATACCTTCTTCTGATCAGTGTCTTCGTTGCATATGCTGTTCGTTTTAACGTGCAGCAAATCACGAAGAGCTTCTTGGACCGAGGCTCCTGAAGGGCTCTCATCATCACCATCATTTAATTTATGGGTGTAATTAGTGATTTTTGTCCTCTTGGTTTCTCTGTGCTAATGAAGGCATTTTCTGCCATCTGACAATAACGGTCATCTCAAATAGTAATGATATGCCGATTTTACTTGGTCCTTTTGCTGATTAGCCCGCAGAGACAAAACTTAGTGAATAATATGATCAGCCTGCGGCCACACCTATAAGCCTATACAGCCTATAGTTTTATTCATGCGTGCATTATTATTATTATTATTATTATTATTATTATTATTATTATTATTAGGCTATTATTATTAGTAGTATTATTAGTAGTAGTAATTATTAGTAGTTACATTATTCAATTAATATTATGCTATTTTATTTTATTTTTTTTAACATTTCTACAATTACGCGTTAACCAAGGTAAGATCCCATAACTGCACACAAAGAAAAAAAAAAAGCAGGCCATAAGGCTTAGGGCTGTAAATATGTTCTTCTTCTGAGAGCCACACTAGGAATAATAAAGGAATGGGGAAACATTCTGCAACATTAGGAACTCTTGGTCAGGAGAGAAAGGTAATGAGCTGCCGTGCCATGTGCAGTGAAGACGAGCATTAGAGGCCAGAATCATATTTTACCGGGGAGTGTGCGCCAGGCCATCCAGAATAGGCCGCATAATGCTGCGCGCGCGTTGTCTCCCCCTTAATTTTCATTAGGCTCTGAATGACTGGCGAATTTGATGCGGCTGCAAGTCTATCAAGCGCCATAATTCCATTCGACACATGACTGCGGTGCTTTGATTCGAGGTTTTTAACAATTATACAGTCAGGATGGAAGCCCAAATCGTTTACCTTGACCCGTAATTATTGCTCCGACCGAGGCGCAATTGCACATTGTATGGTTCAGAAACCTAATTAAGGAGGGGCAGGAGGAACGGCTATCTCTGCTCCAGACACAGCCACTCACCGCATCACACGCACACTCACACTTCCTCAGACACACACACACACACACACAACACACAGTAGGCAGAGGACTACACTATCATAAACAGCACCAACTTTTTCTTCCTTTGTTTTGTGTAGATTTAATGTAGTTTAGTTCATATATTCGACTTCTTTTCTATTATCATCCATAATTAATATATACACCACTAGAAACGTGGATGCCTCTACAAGATGCTACTGTTGTTGACGAAGGTAATTTTTCTTTAGTTCTTAGTGGCAAAATACTATAAATAGGTAGGTTTTGAGTAAAAAACGTTATACCAGTAAGGACACATAGGTACAGTGAATGTATAAAAAACATTCAAATAGGCCTATGTTAAAGTCTCCCTCCAGACATTATCTTACTCGGAACAGTAAATCGTGTGTATATTGTTTTCCCTAAAAAGCATAATTCCACATTAAAATCCTGAAAACATGTTAGTCTTAATGTTCTGCTGGACA